GATCTCTCTGGTAACACAGTCATTGTTTAATAGCATGCTGTTTAGTCTCTATGTGTTTGATTTCTTTGGATTATTTTTATTGTAGTTGATTTCTAGTTTTATGCCACTGTGATCTGAGAAGATGCTTGATATAATTTCTATCTTTTTGAATTTGAAGAGTCTTTGCCTATGACCCAACATGTGGTCTATCTTTGAAAATGACCCACGTGCCCTTGAAAAGAACGTATATTCTGTGGCTTTGGGGTGAAATGTTCTGAAGATGTCGATTAATTCCATCTGGTCTAGTGAGTCATTTAAGATTGATGTTTCTTTGCTGATTTTTTGTTTAGAGGATTTTTCCAATGGTGATAGTGGGGTATTAAAATCTCCTACTATTATTGTATTGCTTTCAATCTCTCTCTTTATATCCTCCAGTTTTTTTTAATATATATGCATATATATATTTGGGTGTTCATGTATTGGGTGCATATATGTTTACCATAGTTTTTTCTTCTTGTTGGATTGCTCCCTTTAGTATTATGAAGTGGCCTTCCTTATCCCTTGTTATGTCCTTCACTTTGAGATCTAATTTGTCAGATATAAGTATTGCTACCCCAGCTTTTTTTTTTTTTTTTTTTTTTTCCATTTCCATTCGCCTGGAAAACCTCTTCCATCCCTTCACCCTCAGTCTGTGTACATCTTTTTTTCTGAGGTGGGTTTCTTATAGACAACAGATATATGAATCTTGTTTTCTTATCCAATCTGTTACCCTATATCTTTTGATTGGGGCATTTAATCCATTTACATTTAAAATTATTATTGATAGGTACTTATTTATTGCCATTTTTATTCTATGCCCCTATATTCCTTCTCTGATACCTATTTCTTTTCTTTACTTTCTTTTTTTATTTCCCCCAGCAGACCCTGTAGCATTTCTTGCACTGCTGGTTTTGTAGTGATAAATTATCTTGGTCTTTTTTTGTCTGTGAAGCTACTGATTTCACCTTCAATTTTGATTGATAGCCTTGTTATGTACAGTATTCTTGGATTCAGACCCTTTCTTTGCCTGACTTTGTATATTTCATTCCATTCCCTTCTGGCCTGATGAGTTTCTGTTGAGAAATCAGTTGCTAGTCTGATGGGGGTTCCTTTTTATTTAACTTTCTGTCTCTCTCTGGCTGCTTTTAAGACTCTTACTTTGTTGTTGGTATTTGCCAATTTAATTATAATGTGCCTTGGCATTGGTCTTTGGGGTTCATTTTGCTTGGGACTCTGGATGCGGAGAAAAGGGAACCCTCATGCACTGTTGGTGGGAATACAGACTGGTGCAACCACTGTGGAAAACAGTATGGAATTTCCTCAAAAAACTTAAAATGGAACTCCCATTTGACCCAGTAATCCCTTTCCTAGGAATATATCCTAAGAAACTAGAAACACCAATCAAAAAGGATATATATACCCCTTTGTTCATAGCAGCCAATTTATAATAGCTAATATTTGGAAACAGCCTACGTGCCCATCAGCAGATGATTGGATCAAAAAACTATGGTACATCTACACAATGGAAAACTATGCTGCCATAAAAAAGGTATTTTTATCATTTGCAGCAACCTGGATGGAATTGGAGAACATAATGCTGAGTGAAATAAGCCAGTCAATGAAAGAAAAACACCACATGATCTCACTCACTTATGGATAATAAATAACATTATAAACTGATGAACAAAAAGATAGATACAGAGACAGTAAAGCAACAGACTGTCAAATTACAGTGAGAAGATTAGGGAGATATGGAGGAGATAAGAGACCAACTGAAGGACTTGTATGCATATAAGCATAACCAATGGATGCAAAACTCTGGGGGTTGAGGACATATATGGGAGTGGGGGGGCAATGGTAAGATATGTACACATATAATCCCTTAATAAAAAAAATGGGGGAAAAAAGAAGTATGACTATCCAAAGACCACCATCCTAGACAGAATCCGAAGCACAAACAGAGACCCTGTAGGATAAGAGGTAAGAGGTCAAGGACAAGGAGTAATGAGGTCCCAGACGTGTGAGAAGGAGCCATTGTGGAATAATCCCGCCCCAGTCACCCCAGGTGACGCCAAATTAATTATGGGTCCTGGATGAACCCCTCTAAAATTTCTGAACCACAAAATGATGAAAAAATGTTATTTTTTTTCATGGAAACCATAGTTGATAAAATTATTAAAATTTTCTAAGAGTAGAATGTAAATATTTTCATCACAGATGTCAATTAGAAAGGAGAAATATTAAAATGTACATGTATTTTGAATTATCATATGCATTTAAATATCTTAAATTTTATTTGTCAATTAAAAAAAAGAGTGCAAGAGAGAAAACTCTTTGGAGATTATAGTCAGGAGTTTAACCAATTAACCCTTCAAGATTTACATGCTTACAGTTGCTCTATCCCTCTAGCCAATTATTTTTTTCCCAGGTTAGACTGACACACAAGCAACTTACCTATTTCACCCAAAGGTCTCTCCTCTTTTGCTAGACTCCCGTCTCCCAGTGATTTGCAGAGAATGGACTGAGGAGTGTGAAATTGCAGCTTCCTGGTGAAGCTGCCCAGATGACTATGCTTATAATGTCTGACTTATCCTTTGCTGTCTATTACTAATATTAATAATTAGCTAAATATGATAACAATGTTTATAACCTTGAGAATGAATAATACAAAATGGGCTTGTATTTTGTAAGTCTTCAAAATTTCATTTGTCTAGTAAATGTATCAATTTTTGAAGGATGGAAGATATGAAAAAGAAAAATTGGTTCTTCAGTACAGGTAATATGAGAAACATTGAAATAGAGTACTTAAGTGGCTGTGTGAGTAAAAAGTAAAGCAAAATTTTAGCTTCCTAAAAGGAGAGGTCAAAAAATGAGAGATTTCGAAGTGAAAACATAAGCTTTGTAATAATCAGAGCCCCAGAAAACTTGCTTAACATTAGTATCCTTACTGTTCTCAAAATATTATCATTAAACATGGCCAGAAATTTAGATATAAAAGATCCTTTTTATATTAAAAAAAAATCAAGTTAGGAAAGTTAAAAACCTTAAAATTTAATACAATCTTTACCCATCTTTCATTTTGGAAACTCAAAATTATTATGAAATCTATCTGTCATACGTAAAAACATTCACACTACCATTCCTAAAAGAGCCTACAACAATATGAAATACTAAAATATTAAACAATCCTCTAAAATTAGGTTTCTGAGTATGTAAAAAGTAAAACAAGTACATTTTACAAGATATTTTTCCACTTTATTACTCAAAAAAAGATGATTTCTTAATGAACATTTTTTTCATTGGGTATATTTTGAATGCTTAATATAACTCAAATATATATAAATGATTTCAGAGAGGAAAGGAAAAGGAGAGAGAAATATCAAGGATGAGAGAGAATCATTGATTGGCTTGATGAGCCCACAACCTGGGCATATGCCCTGACCTGGAATAAAACTGTGACCTCCTGATTCATAGGTCGATGCTTAACCATTGAATTACTCAGTCTGGGCATAACTCAAATCTTTGAAACAAAAAAAGAATCGAGTTCTTTCTGTCATGAACTCAGACACTAATGACTTTTTAAATATGCAAAGAAAGCCCAGAGGGAAACAAGAAAGAAGGGAAGAAAGCAAAAACCTATATGGATTAGGGAAAATCCATTACATTCACCAGGAGAGTGGGACTTTCTTATTACAGTTTCATACAGGGACTCAATCCTGGGATGAAGTGACTATGAGAAGTATTCACACCCAAACAGATGACTTTCTTGACTAATGTTTATAACATTATGGCAAGATTTAGGAGTCTGAGAAGTTGCCTAGATAAGCCTCGATAGACTGGGCACAAAGCATTTTATCATTTCTGCTTTAAGGTTAATTAGTAAATCCTTTACCAACAGACAGGCTGCACTCCAACCATGGCCTGACTACCTTAACAGAACTTTCTCCTAAGGGACATGGTCATCTTCCTGAGCTCATGTGCCAGTCCTTAGGTCTCCTAGAAAGAGGCAGATGGTCAATCAGGGAGAGGAAGCTCTCATAAAAACTTATCCCTATCCCTATAGCCACAAGAACATGCAATCCAGAATGGGAAAAAGCAGTCAGACGATTATAGCCAGTGTGAAGGAACAAAGATCAACACTAGACTTCTCCAAAAGGGAGGTGAACTGTATATACACATACAAACACATCCAGATGTGTAAAGAATTTAGGACAACATTTTCCTATATTTAACGCCATATTAAGAACTCCCAAACTCCCCAAACCTCCCTAGAAGGATTCCAAAAAACTCTTTTATTGGCTGTTTTCAGACCCAAAAAATGAGATACCTACACTTACTTGAGCTTGGGGAAAGTGACAGTGAAGAAACTTCTTTAGTTTACTTTAGTTCACTTTCGTTGAGGGAGAGGGGTTGGAGAGGAGGATGTTTATTTTTTAGTTAATCATATAAAATCCATATTAAGACTTTCAAATGCCCCAAGAGTGGGAAGAACATAACGATGATGACTCCAAAACATATAAAACTGCATTTTCAAAATCACAGAGCTTACATATTTATATGCTGAAATGAAAATTCTAGGTTTTTCTGACTACAAAATTGTGGATTAGTTCCTCAAAATTGAATACCCCCATCTCTTTTTGGAAATTGTGGTGGATCTTGTATTGCTTATGCCCCATAACTCTCCATCAACTGGGACAAACCTCTTTAACTTTTTTTTTTTAAATATATTTTATTGATTTTGTACAGAGAGGAAGGGAGAGAGATAGAGAGTCAGAAACATCGATGAGAGAGAGTCATCGATCAGCTGCCTCTTGCACACCCCCTACTGGGGATATGCCCGCAACCAGGGTACATGCCCTTGACCAGAATCGAACCCGGGACCTTTTAGTCCCCAAGCCGATGCTCTATCCATTGAGCCAAACCAGTCCCGGCAAACCTCTTTAACTTTTAAAATACACCATGACGTCGTGAAGAAAACTGACCTGATGTCTCCACACGACAGTAGTGATAGGGGTTAATGCACACCTCTTTCTGCTTGGAGCCAAATGGGAACTCACAGCATTCTAGGGCCTTCAACTCATGGTGAGATTGCAGATCAGGCCATCGCCACACTCGGCAATAAATAACATGAGGCAAACCCTTGCGATGGGACACCTGCAGCCGCCCGTCCAAGGATCGAGGAATCGTAACACATTTGCTAGGCTGTCCTGGACAGCTCAAAGCCCTCTCCAGCTCATCCATGGCTCCTTTCTTCTTCTTTAGCTTCTTCACTAAAGAGTCTACTGCCTTCTCTGCCCACTTTTCCTCTTCATCTCCTTGCTTCCAGCCTAGCAGTCTCTTCACTGCTGGGCTGGTGAAGGAGAAGAGAGAGCTGATGGGGGTGCTGGAGTGCATAAGAGGTTGACTGCAGCTGTCCAGTGAAAACAGGAACTGGTCAGACAGCCCTTCACTGCCTGTAGGGCTTAAGAGAAGTAATCAGCAAGTAACTCTCCAGAAATGTCATAGATCTTCCTTTTCTTCTGGTAGTCACTGTGACAGATACAGGTTGGGAAGCATGTTGTCATTCTCCTAAGCCCAGGATGGACTGCAAAACTCTGAAAAATAAGACAAGACTTCAGTTAACTTAAGAATAATTTTCAGAATAATTAAAGTTGAAAATAAGGGAGAAATTCTTCAAATGTTTTAGACTTGAAAACTCTTAGTCATCTTAACTCCCTCCTATCCTTTGTTCTCTACTAGAGGCATGATGCGCAAAATTGTACATAGGTAGGGTCCCTAGGCCTGGCCAGTGATCAGGGCTAATCAGGGCCTTCCAACTGCTGGCCAGAGCCTTCCTTTCCCAGCTGCTGGCTGCTGGCCAGGGCCTGTGTCAGGTGCCGTAGCAGGTGCAAGTGGCAGCTCTGGCGCTGGCAGTGGGTGTGAGTGGGGCCAGCACTGGCAGCAGGTGTGAGCACCTGGCAGGATCGCAGTGCATGGGAGCAAAGAATTTTCAGTAACCACTAGAGGCTTTCCCTGATGACAGTGACCAGCAGTCCATCTTGATCTGGCACCCCCGCTCACCTGCTCCACCATCCCACTAAGGCCTATGCCCGCCATGTTCTGCACTCTGCTGCCTGCTGCTGAAGCATGCCATTTCAGTGTGCATCCCCTGGTGGTCAGTGCACTTCATAGCAACCAGTTGTTCAGTTGTTCCACTGTTTGGTCTATTTGAATATTAGGGTTTTATAATATATATAGATATCCAAGTTGTGGTATTTTTGCATTAAAAATTTCTATGAAAATTTTTTGTGGCATTGTACATTTTATTATATTTCCCCATTTAGTATTCTATTTATTATTTTTTTCTTTATTGATTAAGGTATTACATGTGTGCCTTTATCCCCCCAATGTCCCTACCAAACCCCTCGCTCATGCCCTCACCCTCCTAGTGTCTGTGTCCATTGGTTATGTTTATATACAGGCATACAAGTCCTTTGGTGGATCTTTCCACCTTCCATCATCGTCTCTCTGTAATTTGATTGTTTGATAGATGCTTCTCTGTCTCTGGATCTGTTTTTGCAAATTCTGAAAAATTATCTCCATTTCCACCAATATCTGAGGCTTAGCCCACCTCATTATTCACTTATATTACTGAGCAACTATAAAGTAGCTTCTCTCTTCTAAGTCCCGTCATTTTTTTTCCCAAATACAATTTTTAATCCTCACCTGAGGATATGTTTATTGATTTTTATTTTATTTTTTATTATTTTTTTTAAAAATATATTTTATTGATTTTTCACAGAGAGGAAGAGAGAGGGATAGAGAGTTAGAAACATAGATGAGAATCATCGATCAGCTGCCTCTTGCACACCCCCTATTGGGGATGTGCCCGCAAAGGTACATGCCCTCAACCGGAATCAAACCCGGGACCTTTCAGTCTGAAGGCCGACACTCTATCCACTGAGCCAAACCAGTCCCAGCTGTTTATTGATTTTTAGAGAGATGAAGGGAAAGAAAGGGAAACATACACACACACACACACACACACACACACACACACATCAATGTAAGAGAGAAACATGGATCGGCTGCATCCCATATGTGCCTCAACCAAGGATTGAACCTGACCTGGAATGGAACTCGCAATCTTTTGGTATATAGGACAGTGCTCCAACAACTGACCCATCCAGCCAGGGCTAAATACAATTTTAATAGGTCATCTGCCTGCTTAAGAAATTACAGTTGCTCTTTGGTCTCCAAAATATAAACTTTTCTGCCTTGATCTCTAGAGCCTCCAAAATCTTTCCTCAATGTACTCATGCTTCTTCCTTTCTCATTTATAATTGGAACAAGTAATCTATCTCTGTTGTGGAATATATAAATGAAAAAGTAAACAAGTATGATCACTAATAATCTCACCACTCATATGTTCTTCCAAACTACTTTATAGACAGTGGTTCTCAAAGTGTGACCCAAGGACCCCTGGAGTCCCAGAGAACCTTTAATGGGAGTTGCAAGTTCCTCTCTTTTTCAACTACATATGTGAGTCATTAGATTTTCTCATGTACTTCAACTCAAACAACATATACAACAGACTGTATGCAAAAGTGAGTATGAGAATCCAAGTGTTATCCATCAAATCAGGCATTAAAGAGATTTTCAAAGATAGAAAACAATAACATTCTTCACACCATTTTTTTCAAAAAACATTTTTTATTAAAAAATATGTTGATGTTACTATATGATATGATATAAAAATAAAATTCAAAAGATACTATATGAAATGGGTATGTTGTTGGCTGCTCAGTGAGCATGCCTAAGCACTGGACGGTTAGAACCTTCAAATGATCCATGAGTACTGCTTCTTGGTCAATGTGGCTGAGGAAGCATAAATCACTTATCAAACTGTACACAACCATTAGTCCAGGGGCTAGGTAGCACTCATCCATTCTGGAAGGTACCATTCCAGAAACATTCACCTTGACAGAACATCACTTTTCATTATTGTTTTGTTTTTAAATTTTCAACTTTATCAGTATTGACTCTCTAATCCATGAGCAACATATATATATATATATATATATATATATATATATATATTATATATATATATATATATATATATATATATATATACTTTTCTGCCCCTTCTTTAAGAATTTACTAAATTTAGAACTTGAACACACTTGCCAATGGAATACTTAATTTACTTAAAAGAATACTGCTTTCTTGATGACTTTAATAACAATTTTTGTCAGCAGTTATTAATACAGCAATAAATGCTATTTAAGTGGATAAACAGGTCCATTGAGAAGATAGTTGACTTATTATCAATACTGGCATATGTATATATCATGTCTTATTACTGATTCTTAAAGAGAAACCAGGCTTACGATACACATATATAGATGTATATATTTTATTAATTTAAATTGTCTTCACCTACAAACTAGTCTGTTATACCTGTTGCTATAAATTAGAGGGAATCACAAGCTTATATTAGCTATATATATAAAGAGCCAGGGTCGTATAGCTACAACTGAAGGTTTGATCAAACACCAGTCTACACAGCAGGCAAATGGGCTGAAGTGCTGACCACACAGAGAGAAAGAGAGAGGTGGGGCTGGTCAGCAGCAGATGCAGTTGCTGGCAAGGCCCAGATAGAGAAGCAAGGTGAGCAGACCCTGCTTTTCTCTCCCAGCCTCACCAGCAGTAAAGCTTCTCTCTCATTCCCAGAGGTCAGTAGTTCAGCCCAGTCGCCAGCAGCCTGGGCCAGTTACTGATCAGCCTCGCCTCTATGTTCAGGCCTGGAGATGCTGACTGGCATAGAAACCAACCATTTAGAACCCAATCTGGATGAATTTTGAGGAGCCAATGGCTGCCTAGGAGACAGGGCTTTTGATGCTGACTGGCATAGAAACTGACCAATCAGAACAAATTCTGGGTGAATTGTGAGGAGCCAATGGCTGCCTAGGAGGTGAAGCTTTTGACACTGGCTGTCAGAGGAACCAACCAATCAGAACCAAATCTGTGTGAACTGTGAAGGCAGAACCTAAGGTTGGGGCTGAGGAGGGGTTTTAAGGGCAACAGCTGTTTGTTGTAAGGTGTAAGAAAGCAGTTCAATTTTTTAATGACTGTGCGCTATGAGTCCAGATATAGGGATTATGTGTTTTTGTCTACCAAGAGCATCTCCTCCTGATTAAAAAGGCTCCCCCGCCCAATTTAAGCAATAGTATCTATCTATGCTAATATAGGCTCTCCTTATCTATACTAATAAAAGGGTAATATGCTAATTGGACTGGGTCAACCAGCCATCTTCCAGATATCTGACTTCCTTCCAGACAAAACCATGGTTGTGGGGGCCAAGGCAGAGTCAGTTAGGGGAAATCAGGCTAGCAGGGGAGGACCATTGGGGGTGAGATCAGGCTGGCATGAAAGGGAAGTTGGGAGTGAGATCAGGCCAGCAGGGGAGGGCAGTTAGGGGCAATCAGGCAGGCAGGAAGAGAGGTTTGGGGTGATCAGGCAGGCAGGGGAACACAGTAGGGGCAATCAGTTCAGCAGGCAGAGGGATTAGAGGTGATCAGGCAGGCAGGCAGGCAGGCAAGTGGTTAGGAGCAAGTCATCCTGGATTGCAAGAGGAATGTTCAACTGCTTTGATCAGGCTTAAACCAGCAGCCAGACATCCCCTGAGGGGGTACAAAATAGGATAGAATGAAGGGTGGCTGAGGAACCCGCCCCCTCCATGTATGAATTTCACTCACCAGGCCTTTAGTAAAGTATAAATAAGTACCTCATATACATTCAAAGTTAGTGACATTCAATTAATTGAATAAACATGGAATGTATCATGAGTTCATATTCTGGGAAAGAGGCTTTTCTATCTATGTTCAGAGATTACCTACAAATCTTTGAGAGGACAGTTTCCATTCACCAGTCTCCCAGTAAGTGACTTGTTAATGGTAGATATCTTCTGCCCAGAGTGCCAAAGGATGATGGTAGAGATGCATTTTTATAATAGGGTCTGTATTCAAGAGGGCTAGGTGGATTTTCAAGGCTGCTATGGACCTTTGAATTGTCTGTTTATTTAGGGTGATAATGTATAAAAATTTTTTCTAGGGAGACAGCCATAGGTATTTTTCTTCAATTTCTTTTTTTGTTACTTTTATTTATTTTAAAATTCTTTATTGTTTAAAATATTACATATGTCTCCTTTGCTCTTATTGACCTCTCCCCAGCATAGCACAAGCCCTCACCTCCATAGTGTCTGTGTTCATTGGTTATGGTTAAATGTATGCATATAAGTCCTTTGGTTGATCTCTGACCACCCCCTCTCCCCTGCATTCCCTCTGAGGTTTGATGGTCTGTTTGATGTTTCTCTCTCACTGAATCTATTTTTTGTTAATCAGTTTATATTG